TTGAAATGTTTGTGACGTGAATATCACATTATAGCCCAGAGTTTACAAACTTACGCTTTATTTGAAATAAAATATGTTTGCCTTCAAAATAGTCACTTCACTTCACAATATATCCTCTGAAACACTTTGAGTCAACCTCCTGATATGAAAGACGTAATATCAAATGTAAGGATTATTATTCAAAATTCTTATTCAAACTCTAGCGACTGTCTGGCATTTTAAGGACATTTTCTGAAAGTATGAAAGGAAAGTACTGTTGCTGAAATACCCGAACAAATATTTCATAGGATTTTCAAACCTGTGTTTGCAACAACTGTTCTTAATTAAATAGACTCACTCAGACAAGCCAGAATGAAAGTCATTTGGGAAATTGAAAATTCTAATTGTTTCACCAAAGGGTGCTTTGAAGTAAAATTTATGCACAATAGGCAACATAGTCAATAAAGCTTCCCACACAAGCAGCAGAACGAAACAGCTACCTTATATTATTACAATGCCTTATTTTTCAACCTTGTGAATAAAACAGGAGGTGAGGGCAGAACAGACCCTTCCAGAACATTGCTTGGCATTGCCCCACTTAACTGTACGGTGAGCACAAACATGTGATGATTCAAATTAAACTGAATTAAAAATAAACGTGCTGAAGATCGCTTAAAGCATTAAAAATGGGTCCAACAACAACAACAAGCTGCATTTTATAGAGAGTGTATCACATCAGGAGGACATCCAGGGTGCTGGATAGTGAAGGGTTTGCATCCGAGCTGGGAGTTGTAATCAAGAGGGTGGACGGCAAAGGGTGTGGGTGTGGGAAAGTGACCGAAGGCACGGTTGACGGGTCTTGAAGGAGGCGAGGGAGTGGACGAGGTGGAGGGGCCCCAGAATGTAGTTCCAAAGGGTGGGGACAGAAAGGCTGTCGTCGTTAGGAATGGGCAGGGCGGGGGCGTGACATAGGCAAATGTCTGCCGAGTGGAGGGAGTGGACAGGTTGGTAAAGGTGTAGTAGGTCGCAGAGGTAGGGAAGAGCAAGATCGTGTAGGACTTTGAAGTTGAAGACGAGGTTCTTGAACTCGATCGTCTGTGGGATGAGGAGCCAATGAAGCCGGGTGAGGATGGAGGTGATCAGGTCAAGGACCCTAGTATTCTTTTGTTCTATAGGATGAGAGAGGTAGGATTAAAATCGTCTTAGACCCTGTTGCTAAACTCACATTAAAATCCTTGCAAGACCACTTAACCAGTAAGTAAATATGATACTGACTGATGCCAATCAACGGAGCCTTGTTACCAGTTCATCTTTGATGTTTTGTGGGAAATATTTTTCTGCGATTAAAATATTTCCAGTTGGAAACATAAGCACAGCACTTGGTTTGCAAAAGCCTGTGGCATTATTTAATAGGAGGGGAAGTAGTATAATTAAGATTATAATATTCAGATTGTTTGCAAATCAGGGAACAAAGAACAAAACGGTTGTCAAATTTTCAAAACCAAAAGCTGTTTGAGATGAAAAAGGCCTTTACCAGTACAACAGATGAGTTAGAAAGTTCCTGATGGTCAGTTTGTATCTGCAGCTTAATTTCTTATGGGAAGTGTTTCTGACGTGAAGGGCACTATACAAGTGTAATTTGTTGTTGTTGTCTTATCATATATGGCACTGAAGTGTGTTCTCTGGACAAACCGGCTGCGAACACAGTGAAGGGGCTGCTGTCAGGCTGTGATTAAGGAAAATGACTGCTTGTGAAAAGGGACATTGCCTGGTGCGAAGGTCATGAAAGCCAAAGCGCCTGAAGTTTATATAAAGCTGACAGCAGGGAATATTAGAAGCTCTCTTCCTTACTGTGTACTGGTTGGATTTCCGTTGGGTTTTGTTCTACTGCTGCAGCGATGATATTACCTGGAGAAAAATGTCACAACTGGGTCACCTCACCTCCGAGATGTAATTGTCATTATTTTGTTATTGAGAAATAAGTGCTTTTGTCTCATAGATTATTACATTTAGGGATGTGTCAGTGTCCTGAAATGTCTCTTGGAATCTGAAGAATATCACACGTGTCCGTTTTCTGCAGGAGTAGTTACATACAGTATTTGATGACTGCACAAAGGAATGTAAATACAGTAAAATAATGTACTGTTTATGTAAAAAGTCCCGACATGGGGCTTTGAACTGATGGTAGTCGAGGGTACGTGGAAACCATAGCCTTTAGATGAAATACTCTTCCCTCCACCAAATATTTTAAAAATGGAATAAAATAAAATGCCACAAAGATATGGCCCTAATCGCACAAACAAATGAAACCACGCTGCAGAACTGAGGTGCTCTATATAACAGCAGGAATTGCCTCGTTATCAATTCGCTATCAAACTCAGCAGATGTCACCAAAGCAACATCAGAAAATGATGAACTTGACACAACAGTGTTCCAAATGCTGCCCTATTCATTTGTTTAAACCACTGGCTCCAAAAGATAATAGCACCATAGGAGCCCTAGCCTCGAGCATGTACTCACTGTGCTACTGGGCATCGCAGTTAGAAAATGAAACCTGCTCTTTCCCTAACAGTCATCTCTCAAAGCCAGCTCAGTAGCATTTGCTAAACAATTCCGGTGATTGAACCACGCTGCAGAAATAGAAATGATTGCTGTGAGAGTAAATGGTATTTTTATACAGGCAAAATGGGAAAAGGGATTATATACACAGAAGAAATATTTTAAAAATGCTTATAAATTCCACGGAATATTATAATAAATAATAATAATCCTTGCATTGCTATAGCGCCTTATCACATCTTCGAGAGGTCTCAAAGCGCTTCACAGAATACACTGTAAAATGAATCGACTGTATATTTATGGGTGAAACACGGCAGCCAATTGCGCACAGCAGCGTCCCACAAACAATCATGGATTGAATGACCAAATTATTATTATTATAATATTATTATTATTATTATTTTTTTCTTGAGGGATTATTATCAGGTGTGTGTGTGTGGAGTAAGGAAACTTGCCCAAGGTTTCGCTCTGCCGGGAATCGAACCCTGGTCTCTTGATTGCGAGGCGAGTGCTCTAACCACTGAGCAACAGGGCTCCATCAAACTAACCGGATTCCCTTCTGATCATTATATGCCTTGCAGTTTCCACACATTCCTCAACACACTGTAAATCCAGAACAATATTTTCAGATAAGCCAAGATGGTGGTTTCAAGGGTTAAGAAAAGCAATACCCAAACAGACACCAGGAAAAATTTCTTCCCGTAGACTGTAATTAACAACCGGCTTGGGAGACAGGAAGGGTGGATGAGGTCAGCTTCCTTATCTCATTTGAGAAACAATCTGATGTGATAGCAAACTGACAAGAGGGTGGATATTCTGAAAAGATCAGATCAAATGGGCCCCAAGTGCCATCTTCACCCATACCTCTCGTGATACATTTACATTCATACAGCACCTTCCCTGAGGGAAGACGTCTCAAAAGTGCTTAAAATTATCATTGAAATGAAGTGGGTGAGTGGTTGTAGATGCCAATAATAGCTGTTACCAGCATATAAAAGTGAGTTACAAAATGGCAGCTAAAATTAAAAAGTAAGAAGTCTGCAGGTAGTTTAAGAATTTCATCTTGTATTTCAAAAGGACGCTATTAACTTCTCGGGCTTCACGAGGATGGCTTTTGACACTGTCTGAACTCCTCGATTAGATTACTGTCTTGCAATCGTTCCCAGGTATCAATTATTCTTAATTTAACCTTTCTGCTGGCACAAATCGATAGCTAGGTTTGAAATGTGTTTTTTTTTGTTTATTTTCCGCAATCGGTAAAATGGCTTCTGCTGTGTGCTCTGCAATAAAAATAATAAGTGACGTTCAATAAAGTTTTCAGAACAACATGGGGGATATTAGCTCCCTCCCACCTCACACCCCCTCACCCATTAGGAAACACACTTTATGAGGCTCACCAGAGGGAAATTCAGGAATCCAGTGATGTAAGAACACAATTATTAATAACTGAATATCTAATATCTAAATATCTAATCGCAATGTTTGCAGAAAGGATGGCAACTAAATGAATATATGTCCAAAAAGCTTAATTGTAGCTTCTTGAAGTTCACATAGACAAATTCTTCCGTATATCTGAAATAAGATTATTTTTTCAGATAACAGAATCTATGTATTGAATTTTCTATAAAATGTCATCAATAAAATGTACTTATACGCAGAGAAAATGAACTGAGACAGAGTATGAGGATCAGACACATAGAAAGAGGGAAGCAAAATACACACAGGAAACTAAATGTACATCAAAGCAAAACAGAGAGATGGAGAGAATACACACACACAGACAAGCACACAACACACCACACACACATACACACGCACACATGATACAGAACATGGAAGGCAGACACAACGAGAAAAGTGAGATACTGTATTGAAGAACCCAATGCAACACAAAATATAAAACATGGAGCTTCCAGGGGTAAACTACTCTTCTTATCCAAAAAGCAAATAAAAAAGGGAATTAAACTCGCCAGAGCACAAATTTATATCTGGTATAATGAGTATAATTCATGAATAATTTACCTGTAACACACAAATGTGTCTGGTAAAATAGGACGTGCGGTTTTGAGTTATGGTGAAAAATGCTATTTTCTAATTAACTGAATGAAATTAGATGTATTTAATGTAATTCATGTAATGATAGGAATTAACACAATGCATTAAGTTGTACTCTGATAGCAGTCATTAAGCATTCTTCCACATTCACAAAGCTAGTTTTAAAGGTGTGCGAAGTCATTTATGAACACAAGAAATACTTATGCGTTGCTGCTGAAACCCATATCTTCTCACTTCCTCCTTTTATAGGAAAAGTAAATCTGACTAAACAGAATGGATTTTACCTCCAGAAAATGGAAGCAATTCAACAGGAGCAGAAGATCATGAATAAACTGACGTTAATTGCCAAACAAGATCAATGAACATACACCAATAAGACGATAATATCCAATCCACTGGCAACTTACTCTCTTCCTCAGGTTGCAGGTCAATATGAGGTTTCGCGAGAAAGAGTTGGCAAATGGCGTGTAGAACTCCAGAACCTTGAGTAAGGCTTCTCGATGGATTATATGCAAGTCGCAATAGGTTAGAGCCCGCACATTGGCACAGGAGTGAGCCAAGGTACTTTCCTTCCAGAAGACGTCGCCAAATACGTCGCCTTTCCCTGGAAAAAGAGTTTAGAAAAAAAATGATTTACTATTTTACACTGGGTATTATAACAACATCCAAGTATACACAGTCACACATTACAGTATGTTCTGCAAAGAACTTCGAGATGACTTCGCAATGTGATAAGGTGCTATATCAAATGCAAGAATTATAACAACGACTTGTATTGATGCCAGACACATGCAGAAACCCATCAATATGCACGAGATTATCCAAAACAAACTGAACTGGGAGTTCCATGCATGCCACCTTCACATAAAAGGATTGGAAACCGCACTCTCTCCCTGGAGGGATGCATCCTGTTTATCTAATTCCAGAGAATTAGGCGTAGGATGACAAGATCTGCTTGTCCATCTAGAACATATATATATATATCTATACAGTATGTATATATATATTATACATGCATAAGATATAAATAGATTTGTAATCTAATTTAGTACACTCCAGAATGTTCACCAGTAGGACTCAGTTAGATAGCAAAGACTTATAATACTGTTAGAAAAGAAATGAACACACAACTATTTTCGGGAATTCTGATGACCTACATATCATCCTGTCCAAGCCCAGAAATCCTGCTGATCTTCACGCATCGTTAATGGGATTTGCAAAACACTTTTCCGACACAGAGCGCATTTAGAAACGTGTGGTCGGTCCCAGCCCATTACAATGTTTTTGAACAGGAGTTACATTTGAAAAATAATTGGGTAAGTAACTGGCAGCAAAGGCAATTTAATTACTCACTAGCTCGCAGTTCTCTTGCCTTAAGCACAATGTATTCCATCGCGTTCTACTACTCTGACACTCCAAAGGCAACACAGCAAGAGCAATGCTGCATATTTCATTTCCGATATTGCAGCAGCTGCCACATTGCGAGGTTAAGGATCTCAATCCCTATTTTCAAGAAATTAGGCTTTTCGTAAGTGTAATTAGAAATGTCGCAAATTTGAAGCAATTCCCCCATGGAGGGATTTTTGACACAGTAAGAATTTCTGTTTGAAAGGGAACGTACCACTCGCACACAAAGGAAAATGTAAATGAGCAAAACAACTTTCTTTTTTTAACAGAACAGCCCGTTAATTATAGAATGCTTTCTCGAAAATAACGCAATCCATTCACTAAATTCCTTGTTTTGTACAATGCTTTACTGCAGAATTTTAGATTTCCAACCTATGTGCGTCTGTGTGTGTGGTCGTGTGTGTGTGTGTATGTGTGTGTCTGTGTCTGTGTGTGTGTACGTGTGGCTTGTAAATGTATCCTGAGGTGTCAGAATAAGATCAAGATTATTCATCCGAACAAGTTGTTGTTTGAAAGGTTACAGGTTTTGAAAGGATGAGTTTCAGGTAAAAAGGTGAAGTATGATCTGACTAGGGGCTGCTTCACAAAGGAGTGTAATGAGGAAGACCTAATAAAGTAGCTGACCTTTAAAAAGGTGCATCATACATCTGTTTCGAAGTAATAGGTCATGCTGCATAAATATAAATTGGGCTGTATCGAAATTTCCGCATTATAAGACTTAATAAAAGATCTTAAATATCTTTGAAACAGGCAAGAAAACAACAACTTGCATTTATAAAGTGCCATTCATATGGGGTATCATCTGGGAGTGTTGGAAGACAAAAGCAACTGTACCTAGAATCGCGATAACTTCATCATCCTGAATAACCTCCAATGAGCCTGACACTACGAAGCAGAGAGCATCCACACTTTCCCCAGCGTGATAGATTAGGTCGCCTGGAGCACAGTGAATAGTCTGGAACTCCACAGCCAAAGCTCTCAGACAGCCGTCGCTGGCTAGTCGAAAAGCAGGGTGCTCATTAAAGACCTTTCGGTTCAGATGGACACAGATGTCAGCTCTCATATCTTTGGGACAGATGGAGAGGACCTACAGAGAGAAAAAAATTTTGTGGTCGGGGTGGGGGAAAAAAAGAAAAGTTTAATTTTACAGAGTGCACGGAACCACACGTTTTCAATTCCAACCGCGGAGATAATAGGCAAACCTTAGGTGTTTTCAGATTCATAGAGTGGATAATACACTTTATACCATGCTTCTCAGCTGTGCAGTCACTAAATACAATCTTTAGCCGAGGCTAATTCATTCATTTCATCCTGGGTGTGAATCTCCGAAATAATACTGTGTCTAATAATAAAGCAAGTTTAATGGTCCACACCTACCTTAATTGGAATTCTCAAAGCAGTTTAATAAATTGCAGAGTGAATGGATATTTAGTTTGTCTGGGATCAGACTTGAAATGCGAAAATCCAATCAATAAAAAATGAATTTATGGCCTTCATGAATTCAGAAAGGCATATTAAACGATAGTCAAGTTAAATAAGTTTTTCGGAGGCAATACTGGCTGTAACAAGTGATAACCGTGTTTCTTTTTACCCTTGCCGGGGTGAAGAGGTTATTGAAAGTTCTTCTGGTGCTGGAAGAACTACTCAATAAGGATGTCAAGTCAGATGCTTATGTAAGATTGGGCCTGAAGGCCTACTTAACTACTGCAGTTGCTCTTTCACTCAAAAACTCTTACAGGCTTTCAGACTTCTAAGCAGTTATTGTAGCCAACAATGCCATTCTACTAAAGAAACGTTGCTACCTTGGCGACAGCTGTTAATGTCTGCCTAACGGTCTCAAGCTGTGTTGCATTTCCAGTCAGTAAAGCAATGAACAAAGACGGTGCTTTCAACAAATTATTTGTTTTATTCAAAAAAATGTGAAAAAAAAATCACAACAATCGAAGCGCTAGACAAAACATCTTGTTGTCCTCATGTTACTGAGCTTTAGTAATAAGGCTTAAGAGGCTTTCTCTTTGTAGTTCTGTTAGAGCATTCTTCTCCAGGTTCCAAGCGATTTCCTTTGATAATCTGCCCCATTTGCTTGGAGAACCCACCAATTTGCTGCTAATCCAATTATGATTGCTCATACCTTCTCTATCTTTTGTTGTCTCTTCTAAATACTTTTTATTACTACTGTAGCTCTCAAATAGTCTCAAACCAACTTGCAATACTGCACCCTCCACATAACTTCACCGATAAGACTAATGACTATAGAAAGAAAGAACTTCCATTGTTATAGCTCCTTATCGCTGTTGAAAAGTCTCAAAGCACTTTGCAAATGATTACTGGGTGTATAGACTGTCACTGGGATGACAGTCTATACACCCAGTACTTGGATATAAATACCCTACCACATCAAGTCTTCACATCCAGTAGTCAGTCCCTCTCATGGTGAAACAGCAATCTTTTCATAACTTCTTTATAATCATATTTCCTCTTATAAGTAGTAATAAAATTAGTATGAGCGATTAAATAATATAGGCATCTGATGTATCAATCATTTGATCATCTGTCCTTTTCTAGTCTCTATATTCAGACTAGCTACATATAGGCTATGACCCAGTTTAACTGCGGAAACATCATTCTTAATTCAGACTCTTTCTCAATACCATTATAGCATGTTATTAATTTGCACTGAGCAATAGAAACAAAACATTAACAGAAAAATGTTGCTGTATCCATGTGGTATGTGCTTATTGTAAGCCTTGTGTATCTGAAGTAGTTGGAAACATCTGATTAATAATCACCAGACATCAAATATTTGGAAAGGAACGCACATCACTGGAAAAGGCTAACTACATCTTAATGATAAATCTGCACAAGTATTTGAAACATTGTGATCTCTTACAATTAAGCGCTGCCGTGTGTAATTGTCCGCAGACAGATGTATACACATAAGGTGCCCACTTCATAATCATACTATTAATTGAAGAGATTTGTTGAAAGATCAGTATTATTTTGGCAAAAACACTTAAAAGTGAAAAATTCCTGTGATTTAGTAGCATGCAACCAAGTGTCCTGTCCACGACTCTGGGCTTTAATCACAGCAAGTGGATAATGAGGAATCAGTAAGGGTTCATCCATAACTCTAGGCAGAGAAGATAAGCCGTGTTCGAATGTCGTCTATTGCACTTAAGGCTCTAACTGTGAATCATAAAGTCTGTAAAATGTGTTTCCTTCCTGTCCCTCACCTACATGCTAAGTCCCTGCATTGGGTTTGCTCCAACCGTGTTAGAACGCTATAATAATAATAATAATAATCCTTGCATTTGATATAGCACTTTTCATGTCAGGAGGACATCCCAAAGCGCTTCACAGAACACACTGTATTGTGAATTGACTGTATATTTGTGGGCGAACGCGGCAGCCAATTACGCACAGCAATGTCCCACAAACAGTCGTAGATTGAAAATGACCAATTTATTATTGGTTTTGGTTTTGGAGGGATTATTATTAGGCTCTGTGTGGAGTAAGGAAACTTGCCCAAGGTTTCGCCCTCTGCCTGGAATTGAACTCAGGTCTCTCACTTGCAAAGCGAGTGCTCTAACCACTGAGCTACAGGACTCCATCGCTACCCCTTTTGGGTGTGAATTCACTGAGAGAGCAGATCTCCTGTGGACTCGCACTATACCAGGCTCGGTACACGTGGTGTCTGGTACTGACTAGCCAGATTCCCAAGCTAAACAATGACCAACATCTGAGCTGTCAGGTTAGCGGTGATCTAACTAAACTATGGCACTGACAATGCTCCTCTCCCACAGTTCAGATCCTCTATAACACTGACCAGGCTACTCTCCATGTTACGAACCCCAATAGCACTGACATTCCTCCTCTCCCAGTCTAGATATTATTTGGTACTCAGTTACCGTTCCTCTCCCAGGCCAAACCCTGTGTAGTACTGACTGTGCTATGTCCCACTTGCAGACCACGTGCTGTTGGACTGATGTTGTTTCTCTGGCTAATTGCGTTTCTTTTACCAGCTCAGGATGTCCGCGATGATCATGATGCTTGCCCTGAAGACAGCTGCCCTGTAGCAGTGTCACAGTTTCACTCTCAGGGGCAGTTTCCTACGAGGCACTGGACCAGTCCTCTTCAGGCAGCTCCTTGCAGTACTGAGACTGTTTTTCTCCGAGATCAGACCCTACAGAGAGGCCACAATTCCTCTGGTCCAGATATCCTGAAGTGGCTGTGCACCTCTCGAATTTTCACCAGGTTCTCTTCACATCCTCTGATGCCTGTATCAATTCCTGCTGTGCCCTACATATGGTTCTTGCATCTATGCAGATCCCTGGAGCAGGTCCTCTTCCTTCGCTGCCTGCAGACATTACCCTTCTTTGCCTCCCCACTGTAAACGTCTTCAATCCTACGCAGTCTGTAGCAGATGCTCTACCTGATCTAACCTCCAATGAGGAGGCAACTGGACTGACCTAGCTTCTGGAAGCAGGAAGCCTGACTCTGGCACACATCACTGGAACTTACTGGAGTGGAGACTCCTCTGCCATCTGCAGCAATAAGCCCCTAGAAACAAATTTAAACACAAATTAAGAATGAATCAGAATACTCTGCACAGAAAAGCTTTGGAAGCATGGTATAAATCGAATATTCTCCAGTCACCTTCTGAAATCCACACACACACACACAATGTATTTCTGATCCACCCATCGGTTATACTTCACCGGGGATTTTATCGCTTATTAATTCTCAAGTCAATTTCACTGAATTTGACTTCAATGGCCACTTGAGGTGAATCATTGCACCTGCTCATAATAATAATAATAATAAATAATAATCCTCGCATTTGATATAGCACCTTATCACGCCAAGATGTCTCGAAGCGCTTCACAAAATTTTACAGTGAAGCGTAGTGACTGTGTATTTTGTAAGCAAACACGGTAGCCAATTTGCCCACATCAATGTCCCACAAATAGCCATGAAGTGAATGACCAATTTTGACCAATTTTATCTGGGAGATTGTTAGCCAGGACACCGGGAGAAACTCCCTTCTCTTTTTGAATAGCACTTCTGACAATATAGCCCTACCCTTGCATTTCATTGGAGTGTCAGCTTAGATTTTGAGTTAAAAGTCCAGACATGTGGCTTGAACCCACAACTTTCTGACTCAGGGATGAGAGTGCTACTAACTGAGCCGGGCTGACACCTCCATATACCTCTGTACGCATTCAAGTGATACGCTGAGTGAGAATGTCGTGATTTGATTTGCGCAATATTGTCAGTAATACCTTTGAAGGTGTTTGAAACAGATTTGCTAAGAGGCAAATAGTGGTTGATTATTGTATCTAGAAATGTTTAGCAGCTTCAGGCAGGGAGTAAATAGACAGCTGCTGTCTTTGTCCACAGCCTGAGCGGAAACAGATGATGTACTTGAATGTAATTTTATGCACCAAAAGTAAGGTAACAACCAAACACTAATTAAAACATTTTGTATTCTATTGCATTTATTATATTTATTAAAACATTATATTTCAAACTGTTTTTCACAGCAATGCACAATATCTGATGCTCAGCACCTTGGAACAATGCCACTCATTGTTAATATGCACACAGTACCTTTTTCATGTCGAAGGAATGACTCAGTTAAAGCATTGGCACTTCTCTGTAGAAATCTCACTGATTGGAAATAGTGTGGAATTGCATTGGAAAAGCTCACTGCTTGTCACTGTTACATTTGTTTGGAAAAGGTCTTGAAATTTTAGACTTGTATAAGCACCCAATGCCTTTTGTGCTTCTTGCCCCCCACCCAACCCCCACCCCTCACAGTTACTTGAATTCGAATCAATTAAATCCAATCCAATGTGATTTCTTCAGACCTCAGTCTCGGGCCAATATATCTGACACTTTCTAAAGTTTTAAGTTGCACGGAATACTTTCATGCACCAACGTGAGTACTATTTATGCCAAGGGACCAATTGGCTATTGCAATAATTATCTTTCAAGCCATGACTTCACATCATTATAAGATTGATTTGGATGAAGAAGCTGCTTGGGCCCATTTGATCTCATCCTTCCAGAAAACCCACCCCACCATCTTCCCAGTTGGTAATTATCCTATTGCGTAAAGAAAATCTTCCTGGTGTCTGTCCTGAAATTGTCCTTTGCAACTCTAAACACACGGCCTCTTGTTCTACAGTCTTGGTGCATCTGAAAGTATTGTTTTGGGTTTCTTTTCTTAATCTCATTAAAAACTATATTTATGTATATATGTATATACATCTCTATGAGGTCCCCTTTGATATATCTCCTTTCAAGACTGAAGAGCCCTAGCTTATTTTAACTATTGCTCGTAGCTCAGATGAGTTAATGCAACTCTTTATTGCTACACTGTTTTATTTGTTAAATGAAAACGTGTCATGGCTTCAATGTGCCTGAAGTGCTTTAAAATTATTTCATTATTTAATTTGGCCAAAACGTAAGAATTATTTTGGCTCTTAAACATCCCTTCAATACACTGCTTAACATTCACAGCGCTGAGTTGCAATAACTTTCAAAATGAACCCATACAATAGAATTCTACATTAAATAAAATTCAGATCCCAAAATGAACAGTGAAAATTGATCTGCACAGTGCTGATTATTGTGAAACATTGTTCATCTGCATTGTTCCCCCTATAACTTCACCATCAAATCCTCATCAATTGGTCGTTGCTGTTCGTTTCCTACTAAGTTCCAGAAAATAGGTTTTCATTGGTTTTATCAAGCATTTCCCACCCTGCAGCTCTCTAATGTGCTTTCTCTGGGGCTCCTAATAAAGGAATCCGCTGTGGTCTTGGATTATTACACAAGGTGCAAATAAAACCTCCCAAAATGTCAGCCCTTTAATAACTAACGATAAACATGTTTTACCATTGTTAAAATCTGTGTCATATAACCGATTCTAAAAACGGGCAAGTAAAGAAATAAAACAACACTAAAAAAAAATGATTAATCATAAAAATTCTTACATTGAATAGAGCGCCTTATCACGTAATGGAGATGTCTCAAAGAGCTTTACAGGATTTTACTGTGAAGTGTAGGGACTGTGTATTTGAAGGCAAGCGAGGTAGCTAATTTCTGCACAGCAGTATCCCACAAGCAGTCATGAAGTAAATTACCAATTTTTTTATGTTAGCCAGGACGCTGGGAGAAACCCCCTTCTCTTTTTGATTGGTGCCAATGGGATCATTAACATCCATCTGAACAGGCAGACGGGATCTCGGTTTAAAGTCTCACCCAAACGACGGCACCTCCGACGATGCAGAGTTCCCCTGAACTGCACTGGAGTGTAAACCTAGACTGCGAGTTAAAAGTCTCAACGTGGATCTTGAACTCATAACCTCCTGACTCAGAGGTGATAGCTCTGCCACTGAGCCAGGCTGACACTCTGGCTTGAGTGGCAAATCGTATGTCCACACTTTCTTAAAAATCACAATGACCTCTGAAGAAAATAATTCTGGCTTAAGAAATATAAACCAAATCTTGACAGTTCCTTCAAACATTCTTTCGCTCCCCCTCCCAAATGCACAGCTATTTTATAACATGCTGCCATCTGCAAAAATGGAAACCCGTTAAAGAGTATTTACAACTCGCAAATGCCACTCCACCTATTAAAGGCTGCAATAACATTTCTGCACCAATATAAAGTGCTTTAGAAATAATAAATTAGACTTTAATGTGTTGAAGGATTGTTGTGAATTATCTCGCATTTCCATACTCGATATTTAAGATAAATCATTCTTGTCGAAGTTAAATACAAGAAAACTGCAAAATTTCAGTCAATACTCAAAAGGTCAGGAAAGGAAAAAAAAAGTGGCTGATTCAACATCAAAAATAGAAAATTAAATGAGACGATATCACTGCCATGACTCAGTATGGCCTCCAAAGACATATTACTTTCCAATACATATTGCACCTCCTGCTAAATAATGGCTTTAAAATCCAATCCTAATCCGAGATGTGCATGCAAATACAAATGATTCAAAGGAAAGCTTCCTTTATTATTGGGATATTTTACCTCATATGCTCGTACCTTCTCCGTGTCAATGCCTTTAGACATGGACCACGTCGACACAATGTAATCCATAACCCGTTCACTCAGGCCTTTGGGGACTTGGTAAAGCTTTAGGAAATCCCGCACGTTGTTTAGCATTTCGTGGTAGCGATTGGTGTTGGCGTACATCTGCTGGAAGATCGTGGTAACGTTTCCAAAAATAGTTGCATAAAGAAGAGCTGTGATTCAAAGAAGCAAACGGTTTTTAAGTCCTCTCACTATATGGTAAAGTAACCAAACAAATCAATGTGTATTTGAAACTCAGAGACTAACTAATACAGGCTGGTCACTAACGGCCAACTAATAATGTCCAGATCAACCGGTTAACAAATATGGTAAATGAGATTTGTCAGCATGTCAGAAAGCACATCAGTAGATTCGAAACAACCCTGTATATTATTTCCCTCTGGCCAAAGTTGGCTGGAGATTAAATAATTGCTTACGACAGAGATCCATAAGTCCTAGCAGAGAGTGTAGTGCATTTGCAATGTCTTATACCTCATTATGATCAACTATCTGATCTATCTAGCTGGTTAGACCCCAAAACACACTCTGGGGCCCCAAGTCTTGGCTCTTGCCGACCTGCGCCTAATACTTTCTGGAATTAGGTTAGCAGGATACGTTCCTCCAGGGGGAGAGAGAGATAGAGAGAGAAAGAGAGAGAGAGAGTGCATTCCATTCCAACAACCTATCTCTGGAATTTCCATGTGTAGGCCGGATGCATGGAATTCTCGGTTTGGCTTGGATACCCTTGAGCATGGTGATAGGTTTCTGCATGTGTCAGATGTAACCAAAAGAAAATCTATATAAATGACCCAAGTAACTGGGCCGTATGAATTGTTTTCCGGTCCTGCAGCTGCTAAAACAAATGCAGGTGAGGCTGAAAAACACATGCAATATTGAGCGCTCCAAAGTCAACTCTTTTATTGTTAGTTGAAGGGTAAAAGTTCCAAGATAATGGGTTAACCCCTACTTTAGTGCTTTCCTTATCTGCTGATAAAACCTCCAAAACATTCTTAATCCCTAAAATAGACTTGAGTCTGTGTGCAAGTTTCACTTATTTTTAGGTCTTTTATATGGCTCATTGTGTTAACCACGGTTTAAATTGCCCAACCATCGTTCTTCATTACTAAGATCTCCGAGTATCCGAGCCATGTTATGGAAACTCACCCACACGTGGGTCCAGTTCATCTATCTATCAAGGACATTTACACCTACTCACATCCTTAAATCCTTCAGCACAAAGTACAGCGCTGCTAATAAATATAATGTGCTTTAGCAGTTAGAATGGAAAGTAGCTTTAGAGGCTGAAATACGAAACCTGACTTGAAGGCTTCAGTGGAATTAAATCAACATTCCCCATTGTTTTTGAGAATTACAATAATGTGCTGAAATTATAAAATAATAATAACCCTTCTATTTGATATATTGCGTTCCACATCGGGAGGATGTCTCAAAGCGTTTCACAGTAAAGTGCAACGACTGCATTTTAGTTTTGTAGGTGAACTGCTATTTTTGGCAGTCGGGCTTTCAGCCTCTCTGCCTCCACCCTTTGCAACTCCATCCCAAGGTCCCTACTCATCGCGCACCCCCCTCCCTTGTCTCCTTCAAGGCCGATCTCAAGACCTTCTGCTTCGACCGCACTTTAGGTCACCCTCCTGCCCCTACCCTCCCTGCCCTCCACCCCTCCTGATCCCAAACCCAGCTCAGGTGCAAATCCTTGACTGCCCAGCACCTTGGGACGTCCTCCCGACGTGAAAGGCGCTGTACAAATGTAATTTGTTGTCGTCGTATTGCAAATCAGCCCCACCCCAAGCATTGCAATGTTAGCAATAAATGTAAACTGGCAAACTCGTTCACAGACATTGATTTTTAAGTGAGTAAAATGAATTAATGAAGACTTTTCAAGCCGGACTCAAGATACTTGGCAGAAGACTTGCTTTTCTGCACAATATTCATGCAGCGAACACTTGGATGCCCAATGCTAATGCATCTGCTTGTAAAGTATATTGTTCTGGTGATGTGTGGCATTATAGCTGCCACACAGAAACGCTGCACTTTTCCACTGTTCAATTTTTTATTCAACTGCAGAAAGATATTTATTGATCTCAGGCCTTCGTATAATAAGACGAGTCAAGCTAAGTTGTCAATGAGTAAATTGATGGTTCACTTGTGTGGTTGTAATTGATTAATAACACATTAAAAATAAATACTTGCCAAATACTTATTTTAGTCACTTTTAATATCTTTCGATGAGGTTAATAGTAGCAGAAAAAAAGATTAATTAAAAAAATTGCCAATGTCTTGTGAGTTAAACTCTTAGGTTAAATTTCGCCCGCAAAACACACAGTCACTCCATTTTACAGTATATCTTGTGAAGCGCTTTGAGACGTCTCGGCTATGTGATAAGGCGCTATATCAAACGCAAGGATTATTATTACTAATAATAAAGTTTAGTCAAATACAAAGCTAAGCTTTCCTCTATTCGGCTCCATCAATACTGGTTAGTCCTAACCTAGGAGGAACATCTTGCAATGTACTCCTGTGATATTTTCTATTGTCATCACTGATCTCAATGAATGAAACTGAATACCAATTTAATGCCAATTTATGCTGAATTATAGATGCTGTGGATATACGCCCAATTAGGAAGTGTGCTGCGATTTGCTAAATACGCCTTCACAGCCAACACAGAGGAGACTTCCATCACATTAGCCTTGAACGAGAGTCCAATCCATGTCCCACAGATGATATTATTTGTTAATTTCCTAGAAATATTGCAGAACCTGTGTATCCCTGTGCAGTTTCAGATGTTGCACTGATGAGTGCTCTGGGAAGGTAACTGACAACCCATTAAACAAAATAAATAGAAATAGAAATCATACCCATTTTGTTTATTCATATCAAAACCTCTGTATTAGGACTTGTTTATTCTTTTGATAATAATGATAATAATGCTTGCATTTGATATAGCGCCTTGTGTAGTCGGTTACTATCATACTGAACGTCTTCAGGAGAAACTGATGGACTTGGGCTTTAAGTGACATTGTCTGCAGCTTAAAAAAAATTGTGACTGTCCAAAATAAGCTTAATTTAAATCTCTGTTAAAAAACAGAGACAGAAAAATGCAACTCTTATACCTCGCTTGCTTTCAAATTCTCCATCTCGCACTGATCCTCCCAAAGCTGCAATCAAAATGAAAAGCTGTGCCAAATAATAGATTCAGGAAATCTTGAACTGGAGCGCACAGGAGGGTTTTGCATTAAAGTGCATTCCACGAAGCACTAGATATGTCATTATAGAACAGTAGGAGAGTAGATTACACAGATTTGGAGTGATTGCCACTCAAGAAAGGTATTGTTATTGAAAAGTGCATGGCTGCAGTGTGAGCTTTTGCTGTCCTCCTCACCTCCCATTTCATGGGTAGGTGGGCATCTACTGCGCTAGACATTTGCTGTATGATCAAATCCTTGTGTCTCAAGAGGAGGATAAAGAGGAAGGTAGTCTCTCTCCCGGTGTCCTGGCTAACAATCCTGCAAATCTAATTCCTCATTCCCTCCATGGCCATTTATGGGACGCTGCTGTGCGCACATTGGCTGCCCCATTCACCCACAAAACAGCCACACCACTTTACGGTACAGCCTGTGAAGTTCTCTGAGATGTCTTGATTATTGATTATTATTATTATTATTGTTATTGATTATTAGTGAAAAGCGCTATATCAAATGCAAGGATTATTATTATTATTTATTATTATTATACGATTAAAAAGATTTGGGGAACTAAGATTGGGAATCCGTTTAATAACACTTGCGGGTTGACTGGATGCTGACTCGGTTCCTAAAACACGGGACTTAGTTGTTTCAGTGATGCCAAGACAGGCCAGATTCCTGCAGCTCCTGATTTTGAGGAATTTGCACACAGCAATGCCCCACAAACAACCATGAAGTGAATGAACAATTTTAGTTCCAGGATTGTCAACCAGGACACTGGGAGAAACTCTCTTCTCTTTACGAGCAGTGCCTGAGGATTCTTAATGTCCACCTGAACAGGTACACTTTGGTTTAACGTCCATCTGAAGGTCGGCATCCCTGACAATGAATGAACCTCCAGCAAAACCCACTTTGGGGTGAGTGAGAATAATAACAATAATAAATAATAATCCTTGCATTTGACATAGCGCCTTATCCCACATTCGAGACGTCTCAAAGCGCTTCACAGAATACACCGTAAAGTCAATAGACTGAACTGGAGAGAGAGTGGCGGGTTGAATGAGATTATCTTCTCTATCAGTAGATTCAGTTGCAACTAACAGTAACTTTCATGGAGTCAGGTAGGAGTGAGAGTACACAGTTTATATTGCTTCACCCCACTGAGGGACTTATTGCTTGAAATGAAGACTCCTTATTATAAATTGATTTGACCCTAACCTCAATGTGGGCGATTCTAGCTCCTACCTCTTACAACATGCATCTGAAGAATCATGTGTCAGCCTGAGCTCAGACTGAAATTGGAGGTTAACATTGACACAGACTTTTGTCAAAAGGTTTTACGATCAACGAGGAACATCTCAGAGACTTCTTTTGAGAGTTATTAGGTCAACTGCCCGCCGGGTATTGCAACTCACATCATCTTATTATTGATTCATATTCCTCTTGTGTTTCAGTGAACTTGTCAGCATCAATCATTTGATTAAAAAGTACCATTGTGTCTGGTTTTATGGACACATAAGTGACGCTACTTGCTTCGATAGGTTTTGTAAACAGAACAGAGTTTCTTCATGTTTCAGATGAGACATTAAACCGAGATCCCGACTGTCTGTTCAGGTGGATGTTAAAGATCCCGTGTCTTATTTGAAAAAAAGAATGGAGTTTCTCCTGGTGTCCTGGTCAACAATTCCCCCCCAATAAGTTGACCATTCACTTCATGGCTGTACGTGGGACATTGCTATCTGCAAATTGGCTGCCGCATTCAACTACAAAAAGTTGCTATGCTTCACTGTATATCCCGTGAAGCGCTTTGAGATGTCTTCCTGATGCACTCCTTGCATTGGATAAAGCGCCTTTTGTCGTAGAAACATCCCAAAGCCCTTCACAGGATCAACTGGGCAGTACACGCCCATCGATCAATGACGAGCTCATCGATCAGCTGTTGGGTTTCGACCAACAAGTCCCAGATC